GAGCGCATCCATCATCAAAAAGTTAGAGAAAGCCAGCAGGCTACCTTAGGCTCAGAATAAATGAGCTTCTGTTAATGACTTTTCTGTTTCAATTCTTTTGTAATGCCACTTAGGTGGTCACACCTACAAATACCTGAGCAAGCTGGATGATTCATTAGGATCTGCTTTTCAAGACAGCAAAGCATCTAACAAAGATCCTCAAAAAAAAAAAAAAAAAAAAAAAAAAAAAAAGATTTCTCCTGCCTCAGCCACCTGAGTAGCTGGGATTGCAGGTGTGTGCCACTATGCTGGGCAAGAAGACATTAGTAAAAATTAGAATTCTACAAAGTTTTCTCTTCCACTCAGTATATACGTAAGGAAGTTAAATGAACAAGAAAGAAAATATGGCAAATCATTCTTTGCATACCTTCCACATCATACCAATGTGCGCCGTTTGTGATCCCATCTTTGAAAGTCTCATCTTCGTCTCCTGGACAATGAGGTTCACCAGTTTTCATTATTGGGTGATTTGAAGCGTAAGCTTTTGCCAAATATTTAAAGACTTCATCATCTGAGGTTTTACTATAGATTCCAGTGGCCTGATGTTCTGGAGAATCATCAAAAGGATAGCTTGCTACCACAGAGCCACCATGCAGATTTCCAGAAAGCACAAACCTTTGAAAACATAACCAAATCACATATCACTGAAAAAAGGCAGAGAAAACACCACGCATTTAAAAATTCCACATCTTTCATAAATGAATTCAGTCACTTTCTTCTTCCTCCTCCTCCTTCTTCTCCCCTGCCCTCTCACGCTAGGGAATGAAGACTGCTAGGCAAATCCTCTACCACTGAGCTTTATCTCTAGCTCCATAAATGAACTCAAATATCTTTTGGAGAATTAGAAGACAACTCTACCAGTTGTTATAAGCAGACCATTACACTAAAAGTAACCACAAAAAAATGTAAAGAAAATATCATCAATTCAAAACTTCAAACAGCTTTTATAATGGCAAGTAGTAAAACACCATAAATTAATGTTTCAGGAAATGTCTTATTTAAGAAAATTCCAGCCTATAATCCCAGCACCCAGGAGGCTTAGGCAGGAGGATCGTCATGAGTTCAAGGCCACCCTGAACTACACAGCAAGACCCTGTCTCAAAAAACAAAAAAAAAAAGAAATTCCATTCATGTATGAGGTTGAACTACATGAACTCACCAATATTCAAATTTTTTCAACCTACAAAAATAACAATTTCACTTAGTTCAACCTAATAATTAAATCTTATAATGTATCAATTTCATAAACATAGCTGGCTGGTTGAACACATGAGTTAGGTTAATAATTTTTATGCTTTGTATATTTACTACTGCTTAAAAAGAATTAAAAGGAGTCTAATGTAAAAGAGAATGTATTTTGTCTGACTCCAGTTTCATAAATTACCTACACTAAATTCCCATTTTTAAGAAAAAAGCCACAGTAGAGAAGATTCAGAAAAAACAAAAACAACCTGACACAGTAAGCTGCTTTCCAGGGAAAACAATACAACACTGTATAACAAAGACTAGTTCTCCACTGAAGTGAGGTTTCTGATTGGAGTATAAAAAAAAAAACCTGACATGGAGACAAAGCTGCTCTTATAAAACAAACAAACAAAAATTTTAAAAATGTTTCTGTGTGTGTGTGTGGGTGTGGTACTGAAGATCAAACAGTGCCCCATGTATGCTGACCAAGCGTTCCACCACTGAGTCACGTCCACAACCCCATGTTTCTGCCTTTAAGTGAACTAAATTTTAATCTGGTCAAATTTTCAGATACAGAAATGCTGAAGAACTCCTTTCATGGTGAAAGCTAAAGGTAAAAACATATAGTCTCCATTTATTTATCTTTTCCTTATGTATTTTGTTGGGATTGTTTATTTTGAAAGACAGGGTCTTGCTGACTTGAACTTGATACGTAGCCCAGGCTGGCCTCAAACACATCCTCTCAAGTGCTAGGATTACTAGTGTGTGTGCCACCACACATGGTTGCCTTTCCCTTATGTAAGAGATTGAACCATTACTACAAACAGAGATTAAATACTTTTCTCTTTGTACTCTAAATTGGGTTTTCTTGCTTCTGCCTTTCTTCAGTTGAAATTAACCAAGGTATAGACATTCTAAAGGTAGTTGACATATAACATTTCCCTATATATCCTTGAAATAAAATTAAATCTATCATACGTCTAATTTGAAAAGTTATTTTACACAAGATGAGTCCCAGAGGAGATAAAACAGTGGAAATCATCTACAACACAGAATCTCTTCATTAGAAGAAAGAATTTAGCCAATACTGACTATGATTAAACACTAGAAGAGACTATAAAAATAGACTTTTAATACTAATATAATTTTAATTAGCACCCTTCCAGACACCAGAGGATGCCATTTGGTACAGTGGCAATAGCACGAGCTTTGGAGGCAGGCAAATATGGGTAAGAACATTCAGTCTCCCAGATCTGTAACAACAGTAATATGAACAGAAGCTATACCTCTAAATTTGATAAACCCCAGTTTTTCTCTTCTGTAAACTTGAGAGTTTTGAAAACTAAATAAAATAACACAGGTAAACATCTTCTAGCACAATGACTGCTTTATAGGTACTGCTCAATGAATGTTCATTTCTTTAGAGGTACCTATCACCTTGATTAGGGAATCAATGCCATACAGATTTACCACTCTATTTCTGAATTCCACTGCCAGTCCTGAACAGAATAATATGGAAACAAGAAGTAGATACATATTCTAACTTTCTAACTCTAGCCTAGCCACCTGTTTCCCACTGTTAAGGTATTAACAATTTACTGTCGTGTTTGTATTTCTAAAATAATTTACTTTTCCCCCCACTGACTGGGAAGGCTAGAAGAAGGCTGGCCCAATTCAGGTAACCTATTTAGCATCAAATATTTTTTGAGTATCAAATACTGTTCTAGATACTCTGCAAAATCCAAGATCCTCTACTAAATGTTTTTAGTTTGTTATTTCTTTCAATACATCTTAGAAATTTCTTTGTAATAGTTTGATGAGTACCTTTAGAACAACAAAGTATTTGCAATCTACTTAAAGATTAAAATTCAATTTAATTAGAGCTTCTCTCCTCTGCCTACAGTTTTTGAGATAACAAAATTCTCATAAGGCAGATTTTAGGAGAAAGTAACACATCACAGTAGCTAAAAGATTGCTCTTTTGAGTCTTTTGTCAAACTAACTTCACAAGTATTTCTCATACTTGATTTCATATCATATATGTTCCTTGCCTAATATTAAAGAAGTTGGGCTAGGAGTGTAACTCCGTGGCAGAGTGCTTGCCTAACTTGTACAAGTCCTTGGACTTAATCCTCAACACTGAAGAAAAAAGAAGGCAAAACAGCTGCTAAATAAATATTATAAATACTATACATATTGAAAGTTAATCCTACCTTTGTTATGTTCTCTCAATAACCCTATAGGTAATTTAAAAAATTAAGAGAACTTGAGGTTTGAAAAACTAAAATGATTCATGAAATTTTAAGTAAATATATTCAGACACCACAAAACACTCTGCACCAACCTTTAATATTATGATAATACTCTTTACAAACATATCCAAGTGCTAGGAGTAGAGCGTTTAATCCCCAGTACCACCAAAAAATTTTAAAAGAACACAAAAATTCATTTATATGGTAATTTCTTCATCTCTAAGTAAATTTATTCAAAGGAGACTGGTGTAGCAAAAATGTAGAGGTAAAGTAAACTATAAAATCTTTAATGATGCAGTTTAAACCATTTGTATTTTCCAAAGTATTTGTCTGAATTATCAATAGTATAAGACACCACTGAGGTGAAGTATAAGGTAAAACAAAAATACACAAATAAGCAAATAATCTTCATTTTCCTAAATTGGAGGAAATTTTAACATACTCCAAATAATAGAAGTCTATTTCTAATATAGCTGGGTCAACAGGATATCCAGAAATTACCCAAATGATTTTTTTTTTTTTTCTTCACAAAATACACTTGAAAAAAGTAGTTTTTTCATAGAGACTGACATTTGGGGTTTCTTTTTCATATCCTATCTGTGACTCTATATTTAGGCATCAATCTCAAATTGTGTGGGTACACAAATTTTTAATTTTGTGAACATTCATATATCAGTGTCCTTTGTTACTGATTTATCACTAAAGAAGATGCATTTTTAATTCAAATTGAAAATTAAGGATATGGATGAATATATGCTTTACCCTGCTTTACCTTTTGACTACAGTTACATGTTTGATTAGGCTAGTCCACTGCCACAAAATAAAATGACTCTATATGATACCAACTGACCCATATAAGCTTTCAAAAGTCTCACAAATTCCTATCATTGAACTAACCAAAACAGACCATCACTCATAATCATTAAATACTAATGATATGAAAGGAGTAACTACAGAGAGAATTTTTGGTTCCAGATTTAAAGTTTAAGGCTTTCAACGTAGCCTCAAGGTGACTTACATCAAAAAATATTCAGATTTGGTTGTAGCAGAATTAATACTGAAGAGAAAAATCCCTGTCAGGGTCGTGATGGGGTATTTTAAACTCTTAAGCAATATACGCAGTTCATGTATCATCTCAGAAAAGCCCTAGCAATCACATCTTCTGACAGTAAGTGTTATATGAAAGTCAATTTTATATAGATGTTCAGAGGTCATAATAAGGTCATTTTCAAAAAAACCCATCTTGTTTGAAAGTGTACATTAAATTAAATACAAAGAATCTTCTAAAGGGGAGTTAAATGAAAGGAGGAAGATAAAAAATAATCTGGAACTGTCATAATGCCTATGAATTTTCTAGACTTGCTACCTATGACTGAAATCTTGCAGAAGTGATTCCAAATCTCAGAGAAAAAGTTTGTTCATTATTACCTTTACCTTCACTAACATTCCAGAAATATTTAAATCAAGATGGAAAGATTATTGCTTCACAAGCCTTATGAAGACAAAAAAAATGTGCATATAGTGGCAAAACTGATGCTTGAAAAAGGAGAGGTGCACGACCACTTCAGACACTACTCCATTTGGAGTAGTTCCTTCTTTTATTCCTCTTTCTCTTTGCTATAAATCCTACCTATCTCTCAGGAGTCTCTTCCACAGAATAGTCCATGTTGTATTGCCAGGGGGAACAGATTCTTAAAGTTTAACTGGGTAAACACTTCACATATAATATTCTCCCGTTATACACTAATTTGTTGAGGTCCTCCACCTTCTCCTTTTTAATTTTTAAAATCCCACACAATGCTGAATAACACTGAAGATGTATACTAAGTGACAATCAGTCATTTTAATTGACAGAGCACCAGAAACCCTGAATAAACTGTCTAAAATGAATCAGTTTACGGATCTGTGCAAATTCTCCAGCCAAGTCCATACGCTTCTTAGCAGAATCAGAGATAAAGATTAGAAGAGAACCAGTTTGTGTCAAAGGGAAGACCTCAGGGTGTCACACTTCTGGGCTACAGTCTCTCTCCCTACCCCTTAAGAGCAGACTAAGACTCAGACGGCTGGAATCTAAAACCCAGCCACACTTCCTTCGCTGCTTAACCAGCCTGACCCGCAATTTCCCCGAATGCAAGATAAGAACGAGCGGCGTCTGTGTCAGCAGGTTGTGGCGAACACCAGTGAGACAATGCAGTCACGGAAGGTGCTTCCCACGGCGCCTCTAGTAATAAAACAGCATTGACAACTAACCTATAACACGAGTGAGCTGACCCAGGGTATCCTTACGGTCTCACCCATCGCTCATATTCTATGGTCCTGGGAGGAGGACAGGGACCAGAAAGGAGTCTCCCTGTCATCCATGCCTTGAACAAATGTCAGCCTTTAGGCAGCGCTGCTCTGACAAACAGCGGCAGCAGGAGGCTCCGGGAGCTGGGCCCCGTGCCTGTTTCGGGGTGTCACCCTCTACCCTATCTATCCGCCTTAGGCCGGTGAGTACTGTCGGAGCGCCTACTGGGTGCGGGAAGCAGCCTCTGGCCTGTGGATGCAGGGCACGGCACGGGCGACACTCACTTGTTCCTGCGGATCCAGTCGATGAGGGCTCGCACCTCGGGCACCTCGTCCAGGGAGGGCGGCTCGCCAGTGCTGAACTGGTCGGGGAAGCTGCGGTTGAGGTCGCGGCCCCGGCTGTTGTCGCGGCCGCTGGTCCCGCAGTCGCCCTCGCGGGAGCGCTCGAAGCCGTCCGGGTTGAGGCTGGGCAGCACGTACACGTCGGTGGTGTTGAGCAGGCGGACGAGGCGCGGGTCCCCGCGGAGGTAGCCGGAGGCCAGCTCTCGGGCCAGGTAGACCAGCACCTGGCGCGAC